AGGTATTTGTTAACATAATTTGTTATTTTATTTTTCTTTAATAATTTTTCTGTAATAAATTTGTTATTGTTACAAGTTTGTTGCTGGCTTTTCTTTCTCGTTACGCCTGGCTCGTAACAATATGATATATCCTATTCATCTTACCAGGTGTCATTTCAAATAACTGCGGCCCAAACGTTGACGTCTTACGATAATAAACAAGCTAGATAATTATGATGGACAAGTTGCGCCTCTTTGAAATATCGGAAGGAATACATTAATTTTAAATAGAATGGAGCAACTCGCCATAATCACACATTGCGTGAATGTTAGCATGACACTCACAGATACGAGGGGTGTTCAAATGAGAATGTCTCGATTTTAATCACGTTTTGCACAAAGTATGTACATTGATCGCATAAATGGTTGTGTTAGCTATGAATTGATAGAATACATGTATAAATCAGTTCAGTCTAGCTTTCCTGTTTGTGATGATATTTGCGAAAGATCGATTGTTGTATTTAGGGAACAATTTTTTAGAGATTCGTACCCGAGTATGTTTTTGCTTTTTTGTAAGGGGATGGGCACTTGTCCTTCTCACTTCTAAATCACGTCTGACAATTGTCGAAACAGTTAGTTCCGATCTTTCGCAAAAATGGTGTTGAGCTTCCACTCTATTCGCCAGACCTTGCCCCGTGTGACTTTTTCCTTTTTCCGATGCTCATCTTGCTAGAAGAAAATATCAAACGCTAAAAATTATCGGCTCGGTTATTTTCCAGTGTCTGAACTGTATACCCCGAAAAGATTATGAAAACGCATTAAACTATTGTATTAAAAGACTAAAACTTTAAATATCACATAATGTCAGTTTTTTGAAAGATTTAGACAATTATTTAGGCACTGTTTGTTAAGCATCTCTGAAAATTGACAAAGCTGCATGCATAGTTTAACACCTCTCGTACATACAAGTTCTTACAGATGGATAGATAAAGCGAGAGTAACATGCCAAACAGGTGTTTTTTGATTGGCACAGTCAAATACTTCCGGATAGAACATTGTCACCAATGGTCCGTGAACGAAGAGAAACCAGTACTAAATGATCGCCATATTAAAGGAAAACAAAAGAATATCGGTTTTTTAACTTTCTGAAGTTACCGGGGTTGAGTGAATATTGTGTTTTCAATGTGCTCACATAATTTATGTGCTAGATTGGTTCCGAGTTTATTATCACAGGAGCACCAAAAGTCAACACAAGCTTATGCGTCATGGAAAACCACCTCATCACCTCCTACAAAGAAGGCGCGAACATCAAAGTCGATGAAGGTGATGCTTAAATTCTTCATCGACGTAATGGAAGCAGGTTGTGCCGTAGGGACAGAATGTTTACATTGACTACTTTCAAAAAAGTAATTGCATACTTTCAAAATTCACCTTGTATGCAATTAGTGCATTTACATTATATGAACATATGGATTGTGTTTTTCTTCCTCTAATATAACTACCTAAATGATTGATCCCGAATTTGACAGCCTTATTTTGCATTCTAAAATTAAGGTTATCAAAACGTTAATTGATATATTGCAACCGCATTAATCGTGGTGCCGATGAAGTAGAACGTTTCATTGTTCATCAAGGCAATACATCGTGCCGAAGATATACTGATGCTCATTATTTTTTTCTGTGATTTGAAAATCTAGAACAACATGCCAATTACCATACATTCCACTTGGATTAACTGTGTAGTGTATGGCGGGGACTATTTCATGAAAATGGGACGTTTAGACGTTAGTGATGCCTTAAAGAGCATAATGTGTTCTTTCCAGTATTTAAACAATTTTGAAGTATAGTAATTTATAGTACAAACATTTTTATGCAATTGAATACAATTTTGTGAATATATCACTGCCGTGCTTGTTGAGTATTTTTTATATTAAAATATGAACATCAAGATCAAGAAGGAAGGAAGGCGTTCAATGAATGTAAACTCCACACGGAAGAGCAACACAGTACAACCGGCAAGGAGCCCAGCAGGACCGAAATTAAAACAGGACGGGATTAAGATTGTTTATTATTGTTATTGTTTAATAAGTAATAGTCCCAATCCAGAAATGAATAACACTCGTACATATATTGTAATACATTTTTATCAATGTTCCCTTTTTGTTTGTTTGTTTGTTTGTTTGTTTGTTTCATTTTACGCCTTTTTCAACAGTATTTTAGTCATATAGGCGGGTAGTTTCCTAACCATCGTTCCTGGAGAGTTACACCAGTACTAGACTACCTTCCTCCGCGCTAAACTACCAAAGCATCTCCGGGGATCGAATCCACGCCAGAGAGGTAACTGGATTAGAAGTCATCGACTCTAACCCCTCGACCACGGAGGCGGTTAATGCAGGATACCTCCAGATTATGATAAAGAATCTACTATCTTACTAATATTTCACAATCTGTCTTTAAAAATATATATAGTTAAACGAAATCGAAAAAATCACCTTTAAATGTTCATATTTTCACATTCTTTGCTTTGAAAACAAAAAGTCCGCTTTTTCCAACATCAGTCTATACCGTTAATTTTTATGATACGGAATCCTTGAATCCGGCTAATTTAAAGAACCACGTGATGGTACATTTTTTGTTGATGTATCTATTTTTTTTCGAAATTATCAAAAAAGTTATCAGGTATTATGATAAATTATCAATACTACAGCAATCCATATAAAAATCAAAAATCAAAATAACAACGGATAACAAACAACGATAACAATTATCCTTACTTGATATAAATTGTAAAATAAAAGCACATTATTTTGATATATTTTAACAGGATCGATGGGCGTGTGACCATTTATTTAATTCTTCCCGGGATTGCTTTCTTGGTGATTTATGTCATATCCTGTAAAGTTTACAAATTAAAAAAAGAAAAACCAATGGTAAGTTATATAATATTTAAATACATTCAGAACACTTTATTCAAATATCAGAATTAATAAATGGACGGTAGGTTTTATGTGGCCGCTGCCACGATGCCCTGCTCTTTATCTCTGTACTTGTACGTTGTTACCGGTCCTTAGAAATCATTTATCCACATTATCGAGTTAAAATTGAAATTTGCCTTAGGCAGTGGACTTTGAGAGAGAGAGAGAGAGAGAGAGAGAGAGAGAGAGAGAGAGAGAGAGAGAGAGAGAGAGAGAGAGAGAGAGAGAGAGAGAGAGAGAGACAGAGACAGAGAGAGAGGGAGGGTTCATTTCATTTTCCCTCATGTACAACATTAAAAAAGAAAGAAAATCAAACTAAGTCTGCCATTATCAACAATTTCTCTATGTTTTATTGTTTTTTGGGGTTTTCCAAATTTTCTAGACTTCTAGACTATGAAAAACATTAAGCAGCTAAACCATTCATTTCTTTATTTGACTGAATAAAATCATCTCTCAATAATATTCCATTTCAGATTTGTTTTTTAAGATGGTAGTTTATCAGGCAGGTCTATTGAATGATAAATGAAGTTTCGTGTTTTTGGATTGTATTCTTTTGAAAACCAAAAACAATACCAAATACTGCTCAGTGATTCTAGTTGGTTGAGCTTTTATTTAAATATGTACAATTATACAGTCAAAACAGTTCAGTGCATTTGATATTTGTTTTTGGGTTTTACTCCATTTTGATTTGAAAGCCTATCGTAAATGTATAATTGTAACACTTTTGTGATGAAATAAATGTGGGAAAAATTGATAAAAGACAATTAAGGAAAGGAAAAAAGATAACATTAGGGTTTAATAATGATAATACTTTTACTAGGGAAATGTTCCATTTACTTGTTTTAATAAATACATAATATTATAATAAAATTATTTCAAATTTCATTTGAGCCTCATTTCTAGAAAAAATTTAAATAACGTGGCATAATTGAAACTATGATGTTTGATTGAAGGGTAACAAGGAACGATCCTCCGCCAGATTCGGTATTTATATTTTCATATTTCATAACTTCACTTAGTTTTAAACTCTTTGAGGTCTATAATCTCTAGCTGTTGCCTTTTGCACATTTGTGTCAGTATGGCTCGTAATTAGCTTTTTAAAATTATAAACAGTTTTTTTAAACAACCGGGGGGATTCAACAATGACGAAATCTGATAACATACTACCAGTGATGTTGTGATCCATGCCGAATAATTTATTTTAAATCCAATAGGACTAATTTCACTTGCCATGAAAAATGAATAATTCTGTATTTTCGTTTATCTATTTGAATAACAAAGTCGACCACTTTTGTCTGTTCAACATTTACTTCACGTGTTTAATGTGACTTCAAAGTTGGATTCTATTTTATTTAGAATTTTTCTATGGCTTCATTATGCATATGATAATGTTTTATAGCGAAATTCGACCAATACAGATGCCATTGACATCAATGAGAGAGAACGATTGTTAGCACAGAAAGAACCAAATTGTCGAGGTATGTGACGTCTACAATAATAAAATATATTATTAAGAGAAAGCAACAGTTTTTTGAAGTGAATAATTTTTAATTTTAGCGTCCTGGTGCCAATTGATCATGTTCTATAAAAACATCTCATATGTAGGAGATAAAAAATCATATTTATGAGTTTATAAGTCAAACGTAGGACTTCATAAGAAATGCATACATAATGGCTTTGCAAATCTCAACATTCCAGACCGGTATATCAGCGATGGAACAAAACACTAAACTCCCCCACCCCAAAATTTCAAATCTTATAAACTTATAAAGTCTTACGTAGGAGTAATACACTCATTATTAGGCTGTTGTCTCCTACGTAGGAGTTTTAAAGTCTTACGCAGGAGTTATAAAGTCCTACAAAAGAGTTATAAACTCCTAATTAGTCTTTTTTCATCTCCTACGTAGAAGTTAATAAGTCATACACAGGAGTTTATGAGTCATACAAAGAAGTTTATTAGTCGTACTTAGGACTTTATAACTCCTACGTAGGAGATTATAAAGCCTACTTAGAGTATATAACTCCTACGTAGGACTTTCTAAGTCTTACTTTGAACTATATCTCCTACAGTATATAGGCGATGGAAAAAGACACTTAACTCCCCATCCCCAAATTTCAAATCTTAAATATTGAGGACACTTCACCTTATAGTACAGTGTCTCAGGTTTCTGGAGTGTGAAGTGTATTGGGGTCAGATGTCTTTAAGCATGTGCCTATTATCCCGAAAAACGAAAAAAATTCTGACAGTTCTTCGAAAAATTTATTTGACAACAACATTTAATTGTCTAAAATATGAATATATCAACATTTTAAAATGCTTTAAAGATACCATTTTCGATACGAACTAGCTGAACAAAACGAGCAATTTATCCGTTTTCTTTCCATTTCAAATATTTAAATCATTATAGGGGTAGGAATTGGGGTGAAATAGTTTGCCACAGCTCCGGAAAGTTGCGAATTGCGAAGCATTATCCATGCATAAGTTTGTAATTAACTGTATCCTACTTTTAACAATATCAAACACATACATTTTTGTACACTAGTAATCAATATAACTAAACGTACATAATACAGAAACATCGTTTAATATATGCACAGTATGACATCTTTAGTGAGATCAATTTTTGGTACAAGTTGTATTTGTCAAAATAAATATCTCAAAATATGTCTGGTTATTTCGCTAAAAATTATCTCTGGCTTAAGAATAAGACTATTTACTAAAGCGGCCTGCTACAATTACAATTTGACACATATAGTTTATTTTCCTTCATAATATGCTTTACTAAGTTATACTCTAACATACATGTCTGTTGACCTCTGTGCTTTCAGTACTTTGATATGTATCCTACGTAGGATTAATAGTCCAAATAAGGCTTTTTTATCTCCTAGGTGGGAATAATAAAGTCCAACGTAGGAGTTGTAAAGTCCTACATATGCCTTATAAAGTCCTAAGTAGGTGTTATAAAGTCCTACATAGGACTTATTAAGTCCCAATTAGGCTTTTTATCTCCTACAAAGGAGTTATCTTTTTATAGAACATGTTAAATTGGCTTCAGGACGCTTCAGTATATTGAGGAAATGGAAAAACATGTTTCGAAGAAATACTATCAGCTAAAAATCGACATACAGGATCTGCTTTAAAGTCTTCTGGTTCAGTCATAAAAAATAATGTTCTATCAATTGCAGACTGAATACGTATATATAAGTATAAATAATTCATTTCTAACACATTTTTAGGACGAAGTTATTTGAATGTCAACCAAAACACCAATATAGTCGAACAGCTGCTTCAAAGCGACAAACTTCCGAAAAATGATAATATTCAATCCATGTTTATAGATTATGGAAGAGGATCTGAAAAATTGAAAGAAGTTTGTGATAATATTTGCAGAATAATAAAGAAAAAACTCGATAATGATGCAATTGAACACGTTTGGCCAGCACGGAAACTGAAAAGTGACAAAGTTGTTTTTGTTATCGAATCAAAGAAAGAAATCAGAATTAAAAATAAAATTCAAAGTGATCTTGAACTTGTATTACATCATCGAGATATTACTTATGAGACAGAGAGCCACATAGTCATGGCCAAAGAAAGAGAATGTCTGGAACAGAAAACCGAGTGTTTCGATGACTTTAAAAGACTTCAAAAATGCTTAACAAAACATTCCAATGATTTGATGAATAAACATAAAAACATAACAGCCATAATGCCAAGTGTGGTTAAATCAGTGAGTTATGGTTCATCCGGAAAGCATACTTTGCTCGAAATGCTATGCATTTCGGTTTACGTGGAAAGGAAAGTAAGCGGGTTAATTCCACTTGATGCAGAGCCAATCTCAACAATGGTAGAATGTTTTCCAACAGATATTATACAAGGTGAATGTCGATTTTTTGGTGACGGCCCTGATGAGTATCATGCAAATCTAAAAATTGGATTAGCTATCCACGCTGATGTAAAGAATGAAAACGGACATACATTAGGTGGTACCTTGGGGTGTTTTTTGCAACATGAAAAGTATGAGTTGTGCTGCATTACTAACGCGCACGTCGTTTTATCACGGGACGAACTTCACAATCTTTTTGAATGTAATTATACTGATTATGGATATGACCAAGGGAAGCCCGTTTATCAGCCTCTTAGTAAAAAATCAATGCCATTTGGAAGAGTTGTTGCAGCGGCGTGTAAAGAGGGTCAAACTGACATGCCTGGGGTAGAAGTTGCTTTGATTAAAATATTAAACAGGCAGCCACAATCCGGATCCTTTCCACAAACAGGTTTGTATACATTATTGTTTTATTCACACATTTGTTACTTATCTTGTTTGTCGTTGCATTTTTATTAGCCTGCTTTCATAAAACATTATTTTGCTTTAGATGTGTAATATATACTAGCCTTGTAATTTCTTCTACGTGCATCTATGTACAATATAATTCATTCTACAATTTTCTTAACATTCAAACTAAAGATACTTAGAATTGTCAAGCTTAGAAATCTCTTACCGTGTAGTGGGAATGAAATGATTGAAATTTGAAATGACTCTGTCTTTCCTTTTAGTTTGTCGCACATACTCGTCCGCTCAATAAACTGTTAACTAATGAAATATTATTTAAAAAAAAATACCTTACACAAATAATCATCACCATAATATGATGTATAAAGCTTAATTCCTAAGTCAGTAAAGTCAACGTCTAACATAAATTTCAAATATTTAAAGTCGATATGTTTTGTCTGATTCCATACCATTTCCGTAATACCATCAACGTATCATACCTTTGAACCATTTCTGATTTAGCAAATCATGTTGCAAGATTTCATTTTTTTCCCTGCATACTGTGAATTCACATAAATTCGTGGGCATGAAATTTCGTGGTTTTAACAAAAAGGGCAATTTCGTGGGTTCTTAAATTCGTTGATCTTCATTTTCTTGTAAAAAAGAAATCTTACATAAGACTATATTCGGTGTCAATTTACGATCGATGTGCACGTTGCAAGACGTATATCCGCCACACTGTGTGTATAACGTCGATAATTAGAAATGCCCTCCGAAGTGTCAAACAGCCCCCCAATAAATCGAAATATATTTTTACACGTCAATTAGATTGACAATTAATAAGTTCAAACTGAAAAGTTATATCGGCGCCATTTAATGCACAGGGTCCCAAATGATTGTTATTATAAAAACACATAACCCTATCATATGGTCACTTTCTACAAAGTATTTAAAACAAACAGATCGTTTAAACTTCTGAATTAATATTCTTAAGTTACCGTAACTTAAAACAATGTCACTTACACAATGGATAAAAACGGGCACGGTTCAAACTCGTTCTCCGAGTGTTGCAGGACTTCCAGAATCTGCTGAAGCTTTAACAGCTTCAGATGCTATTTCTACTCAGGTATATACATATTTAGATCGATTAATAATACAAAATGCACCCTGTTTTGTCGTATTGAAAAAATTCTATACTAAGAGATTAACTTGGCGTTCTGATTTTACATATTTTACTTACGACAATTTTAAACAAACAATACACTTGTTGTAAATATTTTTTTCCATTTCATCCCGACTTTATTCTTCCTGTATTCCTAAAAAAATACATTTATTCATTATCAAAATGCATTTATAATGCAATTCATTTCTGTATAAATGTTCAGGCTGCCAATGACGCCGTTGAAATCGTCATAACTGAATCCAGGCAGAGAACACGCGGTGAATACGGTAACAGCACTGATGAAACACGTGCAAAGATCGCACGGTATGTCATTGATATCGGGGTCTTCAAGGTGCTTCACGACTAAACTTGGTCGGAAGGTTAGTGAAACAACCGTTCGTAGTATGCATGATCAGTATGTGAAATTGAAGAAAAGATTGGGGCCGATTAAGCAACTATAGCGTGGGACTCCGACCGTTCTGGTCGACCTAGACGAAGCAGTACAGAAGTACATCAGCCAGGTTCGGTTAAAGGGTGGTGTTGTAATTGTGCAGACTGTTTAAGCAGCCGCAGAGGGCATCATGACGAAATATTCACATCACAAGCTAAAGAAATATGGAGGACATATAGGGATTGAGAAGTCTCTGGATCGGTCTATACTGAGACGCATGGGTTTTGAGAAAAGAAGGGGAACCAAGGCTACAAAATCCTTAATTAATGACTTTGACGATATTCAGAAGGAATTCGTGGATAAGTTTAATAATGTTGTGAGGGAACATAACGTGCCAGATTCTCTTTTTATTAACTGGGACCAGACAGGTTGCCAGATGGTACCCGGAGGTAAATGGATAATGGATGAGCGTGATTCTTCCCAGGTCACCATAGCTGGTCTTGACGACAAGCGCCAGATCACCGTCTTACTCGCTGCTGCTAAAGACGGGACGTTACTACCGCCTCAAGTGATTTACGCTGGCAAATATGACCGATTTCTCCCTAAAGGTATTCGATTTCCGAATGACTTGGATGTTACGCACACTGAACGAGGACAGTATGATACAGTATGTAGAAAAATTGATCGTGCCATACGTAAACAGCATCCGGGAAACATTACCACATTCCCAATGTGACTAACAAGCAATCGCTCTGTTTCATTTTTTAAGGCCCACCAGAGTCCGCGTTTGATTGAATTTCTTAAGGAAAATAACATTACACCCACCCTGTTTGTGCCGGCTGCATGTACAGATAAACTTAAGCTACTTTATTTGTCGGTGAATTATGAATACAAGGAGGCGTTGAAACAATGTTTCCATGATTGGTACAGTCAACAGGTAGTGTCCCTCTTAGAAAAAGAAGGGGGGCGACCCCTACGGCAGCGAAAAATTTTGGGACCTTGGGATGGAAAACACAAAAACCCGACCCGCAGAATGCATTAAAATAAACCAACAAATAAGTTTGATGTTGCGTGGGGCGGGGCCTTAAAAAAAGGCGGGCCCTTTGTGAATTCAATAAAAAAGTAAGAAAAAATGTGCTTCTTCATGTAGAATATTTGAAATAAAAGTACAAAAAGATATTAACGTTCTATGTGCCGATTATCGATTTACTAGTATATGCGTATACAGCATTGTGTTCTAGTTTTACCGAATTTTCTATGTTTACTTATTTATAGTAAATGATAATTGATAGGGAAATTTTAAATGCTAATGAAAGTGAAAAAAAAAAAAGAAAACAAATGTGCTTCTTCGCGTCTAATACTGTATTTGAAATAAAAGTACAAACAGTTAAGATTCATGTGTAATTACCGGTTTATATGTTTAATGTTTAACTTTAAACATTATTATATGCTACTAATAAATTATAATTTCTAGAGAAATATTAAAGTTTGAATCTTGTTATGTGTTTTTATGTGTTGTTTAACTTCTTATTTGTTAATAAAGGTGTTAATCTGATATATACAGAACAACACTAGTAATTAAATGCAGATACTACTAGTACACGGTACAAGTAATTAAACACTGAAACACCGTACCTTAATGTTTCACCTCCACCAAGTTAACAAGTAATTCTTTAATAGGACAACATAATGACAGCATTTTCATTTTATTTTAAAAAGTCGTTGGAAGACTTTTTTCCTCAAACTGCTATTTACTCGATTAACTTAAGTATTCAGGTTTAAACAAATCAAGTAGCGCACAATACCGTTATGTGTAAATGCGGAAGTAACATTTTTCCCGATATTTTAGAAAGCACTTTGAAGACATTTCACCGACGTTTCTTTCAAGTTTCTTAAATATTATAAACCTAAACTACTTATTGATTAAATCTGTCTCTTGCCTAATTATCTATACACCTTCGTAACACAATAATCGGTTGAAAATACGCCGTTGCATGTTTGAAATATATAGATCCGAGAATAGAAATAAGACATTGTAAGACGTATTTGTTGGTAGTGAAGTTCGTTGGATCTAAAATTCGTGGATTGAGCAACCCACGAAAACCACGAAAATGAGTGCCCCACGAATAATAATGATTTTCCAGTACACAAATTTATTTATGGATGTTATTTCGTTCAAATGAACTTTGATTATGTAAAATGATTCAGATTTATGTTGAATCTGATTAAAAACTTTTATTGAATGAATGAACGATTTACACTTTCCATCGAAAGGCATGTAGTAAAAAACATATAAAAATTAACAACTTTTTGACATTTCAAATCCATTGTAAGGTAACAATAAATATATATATTTATTACTGTAGGCAAAAAGAGAAATTTGAAAGATTTTTTTATACCGAATTAGGTCTTAAACCTTATTTTTGCGACCACCATAATGAAATTATCGGCCGGCCGTGTCAGCCTTAAATGTATTCGAGTACCAACACTAAATTAAAATGTGTTAATATTTAAAATCCTATTATTTTCCTGTAAAATGCAAATTGTTAGACTAACAAGTACCATCATTGTGATTTGATTAACTTTTATATATTCAAGATGTGTTTGAGATCTCTTTGGTAAAAGTTTTAAATGTGTGGCATTTTATAGTAGATACATTTAATATAAAGTCTTAAAGCACAGTTTTGATTGACGGCATAAGAAACCGATCATGAGTAATGCTGTTGATACATGTTTATAGGCAAAGATCAGACGATTTCAATATATTTTATTATGTTCCATTATTATTGTACAGCTTAAGCTATTTACCATCTATTAAAAGAAAATATGTCTGATGATTTATGATGTGT